TTGGTGCGCGCGTTCCCCAGCTGACGAGGAGAGAGACGGCAGGATTACGGAACCATCAATCTTCGAGCAGACCCACCGCCGATCGTCGCCAGCAGCTATTCTTTCTTCCAGTATGTAGTCCGGGTTCACGTTCAGTGAGCGCCTCTCCACGCTCCTTACCGCGTAAGCTCTTCTGGTTCCCACCATGGCCCTCTTTCCAGGCGTCTGCTTTCTTTCCATCTTTTCACGGTGCACCATCCGACGGCAACGTCGATATCCACTTTCAAACAGGCACTCCGCCTGCAATCCTCCGAGTCTTTGAGCTTTGATAGCTCGTCTCCGCCTTATTTCCTCCGTGCCTCCTCCTTACTCCGGGTCGCATAATTGCCTCGCACCGAGGTCTAATTGCTCTGGAGGCAGCGCATCTATCTACTGTATCTCCAGTCTACGGTCCACTAACTTGGTGGATCCGGCAAGCGTGACTTGGGCTTGACTCTTCTTGACTCTCCATCACCTGCCGGCTCTTATGATCGAGAAAAGCAGCCCAAGAAAGTACCCCCCGTCCGGCGGAAATCCCGCTGAATCCTCCTGCATTCGCGGAACAAGATATTGATACGTGCATCTATAAAGTTCGTGTCGTGCGCTACAAATACATAATTTCTAAGTTCTTCTCTAAGGCGCGAATCCCATTCTATCACACACAGGTCGGGCAACCCTGGTTACCTTTGAAATCGTCATCATCTGTAAAGAAGTCAGTATCACGTCGCACTTATTGTCCCCGAACTCACCGAAGCAGTCTCCGCAGCCGTTCCCATTGGACAAACAGACACCGTAACCCTGCGATTTGAATACCATGGCATTAATCTTGTTCTTGGACTTGTCTGCGCATCCAAAAAGACTCATCGCGTCCTGCCGCGTCTGCTCCTTGTCCGGCGTCAAGTCCGGCTTGTTGTCTGTCTGTGTCTTGGAAGCAAAGTACACGCAGCAGTTGTTGTGGCATGCGGTGTTGTACGCGAGGGCCGGGAAGTGGAATCCGGTGTCAGGGTTGCCGTAATGGCAAGTGTTGGCGGTGCCCGCCCATACCGAATCCCATGTAGCGGGGTCGGTCAGCGCTTGGCAGTCGGAGAAAGTTGCTGTTCAATGGTAAGCATCAGCTCACTCGGATGGTTGAAGGAGGCTGAAGACGTATCATCGGCGGTTGTGCCGCAGTGCACGCCAACTTCGCCAAGTACCGTTGGCGCAGCGGCGAGTGTTAGAAGTGTGAGGAGAGTAGCGGTGTACATGGTTTGAATTTGGTTTGGATGGTTTGAATTTGGATGGTGTTATGAGATGGCTGGTGTGCATTTCTTTTATACTTCCTCTCTCTCCGTGTCTCACGACCTTTGGAGGGACGATACGAGGGTATCTCAGAGCATCGCTCTGCTGTCGGGATGCGACGGCGGGTCGGGGCGGAACTGCGCCCGTCGTCTGGAGGTGGAATAGCTCTCCTGATCGCCCCGGATGCCTAGTCGACCTCGGCAGTTCACAGTCACATTCCACGAGGAATATACTGCGCGTCTCATCATGATAGTGACGCAAAGAAATCTACGTCGCAAGGTTGGCGTCTGCTCTACCTGATCGGGATCTACCTGATCGGGATCTGCGGTGCAGATCGGGATGGGCGACCCTTTTTGCTCCGTGGTTATGTGCAACGACGGAGCCTTCCTCTTGCAACCTGCTTACTTTCTCGACGATAAATGGGCGGCTGTTACCACCTTATTTTCCACCTCAAAGCAAAGTACACAAGTCAACCTCAACCCGATCTTTTTACGAGTCCTAAAATAATTCACTACATGACGTCTTTGAAGTTGTCGTTATTTGTTGTCGAGTTTGTTGCCAACTTTGATCGTATCCATGAGTGAAAGTTCAACCTTGAATTCAACCACTGGATAACAATTGTAGCGCGCTTTGCGGCAGATCCCACTAACATGATCATCAGAGGCTTCAACAAGTTCAACAGGCAGAGCCCATACCTCACTTCTACTACCATTCATTCGTGCAAAGTCAAACACAACTGCGCGAATTTTCTACCCTTGCTTACAAAATATAATTAAACCATTGCCCACTGACAACGGGCCCAATTCTCACTCGGTCGACAGGTCGACCAGCTCGCACAACGGACCCCACAGATGCACGATCTTGTAGAACCCTGCCACCTCACCCACTCAGCATCCACTGCGCATATCCGAATGAAATAAACCGCACGCACCCAGATCCGCCATATACACCCCCCTCCCCGCCAGATCCCACGGGAACAGCTCGTACCTGTCGTCGATGAGCACGAGCGGCTGGTCCCTGCGATACGTGACGTATTACGTCTCAATGAGCGCGCGCACGGAGAGGTCGTGCGCGCGCTGGGCGTCCGCCGCCCTGCTGGTCGTCTGCCCGCTTTGCGTGCGTGAGCTCGCGGCTTTGCCGCCCCTGCGGATCGTGAGCTTCATGCCGCACGGTGAGATGGGATGGGGGATACGTACCCGTGCGAGCTGATGATCTTCCCGCCGCACGCGAACATATCGCGTCTAGCCAAGGCAACCGTAAGACCACAAAATGAACTTAAGCATGACATAGCAGAAACCGCACTTTGCCGAGAACGCGCTGAGGAAGTACCCCTTCACACCGGATACAGCGAAATCTTGACATATGTCAAGAGGCTAGCTGAAAGGAGATAAATCAAGAGACAAACAAAACATTGTAGAAATTTGATATATTCATTTAATACAAGGCTACAATGGAAGTAGCGGCAATCAGCGGCTGTTTTGAAACCAATAGATTTATGGATTGTAGCTAGCTATGAAAGGACTGCTGAAAGATGAACTTTCAGCAGTCCCTGTCCAGTGACAAGAAAGAGCTTCTTTTGTAAATTTACAAGAGTCTTTGTTTCAAGTGTCATGTTAAACTAGGGTAACATGCCACTTGAAACAAAGACTTTTGTAAATTTTGGAAAGAAGCTCTTTCTTCTCACTAAAAGCACTGCTTGAAACAAAGACTCTTGTAAATTTAGAAAAGACGCTCTTTCTTGTCACTGGACAGGGACTGCTGAAAGTTCATCTTTCAGCAGTCCTTTCAAAGCTAGCTACAATCCATAAATCTATCGGTTTCAAAACAGCCGCTGATTGCCACTACTTCCATCGTAGTCTTGTATTAAATGAATATATTAAATTTCTACAATTTTTTGTTTGTCTCTCGATTTATCTACTTTCAGCTAGCCTCTTGACATATGTCAAGATTTTGCTTTATTTGGTGTGCTTGACCGTCCCGTCGTTCTGATACACGCCCCGTTGGTAGCTCCGGAACCACCTCCTGCCGGGACTGCAATACACGTAAGCTGTCAGCCGCATTTGCATTTGCGATGGATAGAGAGGAGGGGTCACCTGCGCCCAGATCGGCGGGAGCCGCCGCAGAGGCGGTTTCGGAGGCTGCGGCTCCGCTTTAACGGGGCGCGCCTCGTCGCTTTCCACGCCCGCCTCGGTAATGGGCAGCGTGAGCCAGTTGTCCGGGGCGTCCGCGGGACTCGGCGCCAGAAGGTGCATGCGTTCTACTTCCTCTTTTTCTGACGGATCGGGCTTGATTTTCATAACGGCAGGTGGCGGTACTGGGCGCCGACACATGCGGCGGTCGTGGCGGCTCGACGACGGCGCGCGGACCGCGGGCGTGCGTAATATCGCACGTCCGAGCGTGTCGGACGTCCTGCTGAATGGCGCGGCCAGCGATCCGCATGGTGACGTGGCGTCGGTCCCTAGAACCTTGAGCGCGCCCGTGGCCGTGGTGGGCGGGCCGCGCCGTCGTGGCGCAGGGGACGCGGGTCCCCGGGCAGTTTTGGGCCGGGCGGGAGTGCGCGGGGTAGGAGCTGATTCCCGTGCGTCGGCTGCGGTGTCCGTATGAGCTGAGGAGGGGTTTGGAGGCGGCTGGCCATGGAGAGCGGAGGGGGCTGCGGAGTGGGGTGCCGTCGCCGAGGTGGAGGAGACGGAGGACGGTTCTCGCGATCCAGGCTCTTGTTTTATGGTGACAGCGCGGACCAGCGCGGACACAGGCACACGCGCGCTGCTGGCAGACCTCGATACGGGCGCCGCCGTCGAATCGAGCTTGATGCGCTACACTCTCGAATATGAGCATCCCATACACTCACTTCCCCGCGCGAGCACAGCACAGAGGGACGCGACGTACCTTGCGCGGGTCCCTATCCTGGGCGTGCGCTCGCGAGTGCGATTGTAGCGGGGCGGTAAGGGCGACGGCGCTCCGACTGCAATGCGGGTCCGGAAGCGCGCCGGCCCACGCCTCCTCGGGGCTGCGGCCTGCGGTCGAGTCCTCGCGCGCACCCCCGTCGCCCTCCTGCGACTCGTTCTTGCGCTGCAGCCCCATACATCAACGAACGACGGCAGGACGTGCAGCGGGTACTACGCACCTGCCGATCCATATGGCGGACACACCACCCCTTCGCCCTCTCGTACTTGGCCCGCAGCGCGGCCAGCTCCACCTCCACCGCCCTTGTTTCCGCGCGCGCGCGCTCTACGTCCTCGAGCGCGTGGTGCAGGTGCACCTCCAGGCACGCGACCTGCGCGTCGCGCTCGACCGCCGCGAGCTGCAGTTCGCGGAGGCCCGCCCGTGTATCGTCCTCGCTGTGTGCGGGGAGCGGGGTGTGCGAGCGGGGGATCTCGCTCTCCATCTCGGCGGGCAGTCGTGCAGTTTCGCAGTCGTTGGCGGGTGGGAGTGCACGGAGAGCAAGATGGAGATGGAGAGGAAAGTGGTGAGAGAGAGGAAGAAAAAGTGGCAGTGAAAATGATCTGCAACGTTGGCATTCGATTGATGGACGCGATCGAGACATCCCACGGTCACGGGGGTTAGGGTACATGTACAGTCTAGTCGAGTAGGCGAGCCGCAACTGTACAGGAGTACAGGTCCCTTACGGTTGAAACACCCGACCTTCATACCCAGATCTGGAGCAATTTCCGGGATAAAAAATGGTTGAACTTTTGATCGCAACATGCGGACGCGGGGAGTCGAACCCCGTTCAACTGCTTGCAAGCACAACGAATTCCCATGATCAAATGCAGCAGTGTACCGTACACCACGTCCGCTTCCTCCCGCCATTTTACCTCTCCATATATCAGTTAGTTAGAAGCCTTCAAATATAAATTGAAACATGTTCTGCGTGGCCGAGAACATCAGACCAAGGTCAAACCAAGATCTTCGCAGACAATGTCAGCAAAATCGCAGGCTGCCGGATCCGCCCAAGCCATCCACATATAGGCTAGAGTACAGTCAAGTGACCGTGACCCGCATCCAGGGTACATGTACATTCTAGTCGACAGGCGAGCCGCAACTGTAGAAGTCCCTTACGGTTGAAAAACCCGACCTTCATGCCCAGATCTGGAGCAATTTCCCGGAATAAAAATGGTTACACAGTTGGATAGATAATGCGGACGCGGGGAGTCGAACCCCGTCGGGCTGCTTACAGGCTTTCACTATTTCATTAGGGAAGGCAGCAGTGCGCCGTGCACCACGTCCGCTTCCTACCTCCCTTCTACCTCTCCATATATCCAGGCAGTTGGAAGCCTTTCAGAAAAAAGTTCTGTCAGATATACATACCAACTAGGCGGACGCGGGGAGTCGAGATTGACGTTCAGAGCCATCAGGTGACAGGCGGCCCGATGGCAGGCGGGTAGAGAAGAAAGCTGTGGCGGATGATGACCATGGTGCGTTCGTCGGACCTCGTCGCAGTACAAAATGCTTGAAAGGAGTGCCGATTTGTGACAGAAATGGCCGAATGCAACGAGTCATGGGCGGATTTGGTGGTTGGAATGTGAGGATGAACATGTCTGATTATAATCCTAATACGCTATAGCTGCATCACATCTTTCAGGGCTTCTTTGCATGACCCAGCCCGCTGATTCTCCACGCATACAAGCTGTTGACATACGGAATCTTGGTGGCCAACCGCACAACGTTTACGTGTAAGGAGGGTCCCCAGCCTAATCCTCCCTTCTCTAACTCCGTCATGTCCTGCACCATGGCGATGACTTCGCTTGCGACGGAGCGGCGATGAGTAGAGTATGCATCCAAGATCTCCACGGCATCGCGCTTAGCGCCCATTTTTTCGGCGTCAAGGGCAGCCTTACGGTGGGCGTCGATCGCCTCGGCGAGCTCGCAACCATCGCAGATCCCCATATTCATACCCTGTCCGCCAGCGGGACTGTGGGGAGATCCAGGTGAGTAACAGCGCAACGAATTGGGTTGAATTCTCACCCATGCTTGTGCGCAGAGTCACCCACGAGCATAATGTACGCGCCGCCATTGGCGCGCTGCACGTACCGGTCGGCAAGCGCCGGCCGGGTCCGGTATCGGGAGCTGTCCAGGACTTGGACAATCTTTGGAACGGCGTGCTGCGTTGAATGCGATCCAGGCCCCCGCGCGTTCAAGATGGCCTGAAGATAGTTTGCGTCCGGGGCACGGGGCGGCGTGTCGGGAACACCGACGTAGAGTCGGAAGAGATTCTGGTCTGGAGCGAGGGACGAGTCCAGCACAGGTGCTGTTAATATGACGCCGCCGCCGCCGATCATCATTTGGAGCCCGTCCCTTGGAATGTTCGCGGGCAGCGGCGACGCCAATAGTACGTCTGCCACCACGAAGGACAGGTCATTCTTACCCGGGCCAGCCTCCTTCCTCGTGTATGGGTCGATAAAACGGATTCCCGCAAAGCTCCGCAAGAGTGACTTCGAGCCGTCCGCCGCGACAACGTAGCGCGCCCTCAGAGCTTCGCCGGACTCGAATCGCAGCTCGTAGTGCGAGCCCTCGGCGACTTCCTTGATATCAGCAACACGTTTCTTCCAGTGGATGCTATTTCCGCTGCGTTCGACATACTCGCGCATCCGAAGCTCGACTTTGTGCTGTGGAATCACCAGCGAGAACGCATATCTGGTGTACTTTGCAATCTCCGTCATGCGTATCCGAAACAAAAGCCGCTCCTGCGGGTCGAAGGCCGTCAACGTCTTGGATTGGATGCCGTCAGACACAAGCTGTTCAGACAGTGGGGGATGTAGGGCACCGAGGGCCTGGATCGCAGTGAGCAACGATGGGAGATATCAAGTAGATCAGCTCACCTCGAGCGCACTGGCTTGCATGAGCACCGCGCGCGAGCTGTTATGTCCTGCTTCGAGCGCATCGACAATGACAAACGGGATTTGGCGCGCTGCAAGGCCCACGGCGCAGGCGAGACCACTGGGGCCAGCGCCGACGATGCAGACCTCTGTTGAAGAAGGGAATTGGGCACTCATAGGTGAGGAAACAAATGTAACAGTGTGGGTGGCTCAGAAGGGATTTAGACGCGAAAAGGGGCGACGATGATGGTGGCGTTGAGAAGACAAGGACCTAGACTATGCGGAAATCTATGGTGTCCAAACCAAGAGTCTCGGCTCATTTTATGGCCTATACGCTGACTGTCCCTCTCTCGCCTCACCGAGCGTTAGCGAGTATGATTGATTACAAATTAGCCGCGAGCGTCAGCGAGTATGACTAGCCGAGACATACGCGTTCACGGCACGGTCTTTGTTTCGTTACTGCGGACTCCGCAAACCACGCCGCAATCAAATGCGCTGTGCACTATACCAATTTAGACCACACTTTCCGATTCCGCGGACTTTCCGAACAACTGCGACTGGCTGCGAGCTGACCAAAAAAATGAACCTTGGGGTGGTTCGTGCTTGAAAGCCAAGTCTCATGAATTCCTGTCCGCAGAAAACACCTCTTTGGTGCTCAATTCCAACTGCGCCGCAGGAAGCGAGGGGTAGCCGAATCAAAAGTTCGTGAATCAACTCCCCAAAACCTACCCAGTCCGTGATCCCCGTCGCCAGATGGGGACGGCATCAAGTGACATTGTGTGACTATGGAAAGCCAGAGCTGCTCTGGCGTTCCATACTAAACATTTCGGCTCGAGTTTCGGATCAGCGGAATTGTTTAGTTTCGATAAAAAGCGACGTCCATTCAGCCCCTTGTCATAGTAGCCGGCTTTCACTTTCCCCAGCAATTCATATGCGTGCCTCGACTAGATTCCTCAAAGGCTTGACTCTTATTCTTCCCCTCTTGGGCCCGGGGTCGGTTTTCGGGCAGTCTACCCCGACACCAGTTCCATGCGTGGTCCACCCAGCCACTGCTGTGGAGCAGAAGCAGACTTTCAACACCTTCGTCGAGGAGTTCTATGTCAAAAGGTGCACTAGCTTGCCACCCCAATCAACACTTCGCTCTAACCTCTCCCATCCGCATCGACAGAGACATCCCCCGCGCATTCACCCACATCGCCGCAGACTACATCCAACACAACCCCTTCGAGCTAGACGGAATCACTTCGTCGTTCGACTTTCTCTACCCTATCTTTTCAAACACATCTGTAACCGTGCAGATTTTGCATTGGGTTTTCGAGGCGCCGTATGGTTAGGTTTAATGGGACGTGCGTGCAGGAGCACTGGGATGTGATACAGGAGCGCCCAGTGAATGCGACGAATCCGCATCCGTTGTTCTGATCGGACAGTGACACTAAGTACTCGTCGACTACCAGGAGTATCAGTATATCATACGGGGGTAATACTGTGGCACAACTATCAGTTTTATTTCTCGAAAAATTCACCACCTTGGAAAAAAAAAGTACCACTCTTGGCGGAGGAGCATTTTCACTCGTACAGGTGGTGAAGAAAAGAGACGACCCCGCGTCTTCATTCAAAAAACTCACCGCTAGTTGCGAGGCCATTCGGAAAGGAGGAAATGATCACCATTGCAGCTAAACAGATATTAATGCACCACACGAGCCAAGCCTGTCCTTCCAGAGTTTTCAAGCAGTACGCTTGAAAGTTGTGGAATTTGGATTACGGAACATTTATTCAGATTTGACGAAGATATGATTGATACGACCAACTACGCTTTCCAAATAGCTCATAATACCTCGTTGGTTTGACATATGTAAAATCCAAGAACCAGAACCGGGGCCTGCTGCTAAGAAGGCAGACCACAATGGCCCACCCGTTCCGAAAGGAACAATGGGATAAGAAAATGGTGAATTGTCGCAGGAAAAACAGCCCCTCCGGAACGACCGCACCCAGCTCCCCTTCGTCATCGTCCAAATCATTAAACCCTGGGTACCTAGTCCAGTTCACCACAAACAAGTTTCCCAGATGCTATCGGCCACACTTCCAAGTTTGATGCTAGCCATGCGTGCTGCAGATCACGCATGAGGGCATATCACAGTGGTCCCGGGCCCCGGTCGCAGCGGTTTCCAGTGAATCGAGAGGTCGGATAAGGGTGAGTGGGCACACAGTCAAGTGGCTGGTGGTTCAATGAATTGGGCATGAAGCGGGAAGGGGATGGTTGCTGTGGAGCGGAGGACGGGGTTGTGCTCGTAAGTATCTTTCACGCTCGACCGAATGCAGCGGTGCACCGTGCGCCACGTCCGCTTCCTCCCACCAGTTCACCTCTCCATGTATCCCGGCAATTGGAAGCCTTCGATCTTCAGCTAGCTGATGCTTTTCGGGGTACATACGACCCCGCAAAATCATGCATCCCAGATCTCAGATTGCCTCCGAGATCGAACAACGCTTTGCTGACGCTTTACGAGTTACGTGTTCAGAAACCAAGTTCAACTCAGCCGAAACCAAGGTCAACCACCATGATTTTGGCCGACTCACTATGGGCGACAGCAAAGTTGAGTGCACCCGCAGGCTGCTGGGTGCGCTCTCAACCCAGATCTGGAGCAATTTCCGGAATAAAAAGGGTTGTACAATTGTTCTCCGTAATGCGGACGCGGGGAGTCGAACCCCGTCTGACTGCTTACAATTTGAACTCAAAGTAAGGATAAAGAGAAGGCAGAGGTGCGCCGTGCACTACGTCCGCTTATCCGTTTTATTCCCTACCTCGATAATTGCAGGCTTTCGGGAACACATCTTGCTTAAAAAAAAAAAGATGAAGATATCATGGTGGAGGCGGACACGGGGCCCGTTCAACTGCTTGTGCGATTCGATACGACGCTAACAGAAGGCAGCGGTACACTGTGCACTACGTCCGCTTCCTTCCTACATTCCTAGCCTCTATAACTTCAGGCTGTTCAGTGCTCTTCGAGTAAAAAATGGCTTGGATCGATGATGCGGACGCGGGGAGTCGAACCCCGTCTGGCGGCTAACATGTTGCTGCCAACCATCGCAGTGAAGGCAGCGGCGCACCGTGCACCACGTCCGCTTTATTCCTCTATTCCTGACCTCCATAATACCAGCTGCTGGACTCTTTAGAATAAAAAATCTTCAACACAAACTGTCAGGCGAACGTGGGGAGTCGAACCCCATTTGGCTGCTTACATAATTGCTCATACACTGAAGGCAGCGGTGCACCGTGCACCACCTCCGCTTCTTCCCTCTATTCCCTAATTGAATATATCCTCGTGGTTGGCAGCCCTTGAGCAAAAAAAAGTTTGGCAAAGATTCAAGAATTGCGGACGCGGGGAGTCGAACCCAGGCTTTAACTATGTCACTAGGGAAGGCAGCAGTGCGCCGTGCACCACGTCCGCTTCCTACCTCTCTTCTACCTCTCCATATATACTGTGGTTGGAAGTCTTTCAGAAAAAAGTTGTGTCAGACATACATACCAACTAGGCGGGGAGTCGAACCCCATGCAACTGCTCGCAAGTATATCTTTCGCCAGCGACCGAATGCAGTGGTACGCCGTGCACCACGTCCGCTTACACCCGCCATTTTACCTCTCCATATATTAAGTTAGTTAAAAGCCTTCAAATACTCAGCAATTGAAACATACTCCACTTGCCCAAGAATATGAAACCAAGATTGGATGCAGCATGGGAGGCGGACACGGGGAGTCGAACCCCGTCAAACTGCTTGCAATTCAATTTTGGATTGATAACTCAATAACAGAATGCAGTGGTGCACCGTGCACCATGTCCGCTTACTCCCACCATTTTGCCTCTCCATATATTCAAGTAGCTAGAAGCTTTCAAAGACTCAGAAATCGGAACATGCTCTACTTGCCCATGGATATGAAACCAAGGGCAAACCAAGATCATCTTCGCAGACAATGTCAGCAAAATCGCAGGCTGTTGGATCCGCCCAAGCCACCCTCATGTAGGCTAGAATACAGTCGAGTAACCCGCATCTTGGCGAGAGTACAGTCTCACAGATAGGCGAGCCGCAACTGTACAGATAGCCTACGATTGAAAACCAAATGTTGATACCCAGATCTGGAGCAACTTCCGGGATAAAAAATGGTTGCACAGCTGAGGTACATAATGCGGACACGGGGAGTCGAACCCCGTCTGACTGCTTGCATTGGAGTTTTGGCGATCAAATGAAGTCAGCGGTGCGCCGTGCACCATGTCCGCTTAATTCATCTATTCCTAGCCTACTTTTCATCTAGGTTTCGAAGTCCTCTTCGGAATACAAAAAGGCGAAAGATGAGATACCACAGGCGAATGCGGGGAGTCGAACGCCGTTGAACTGCTTACACACTTGCTCTGCATGGCATGGCGAAGGCAACGGTGCACCGTGTACCACGTCCGCTTAATTCTTATTATCCTAACCTCATCTCATCCAGTCTTTAATCTAAGGCATCTCACGAAAAAGGAGTTGGGCAAGGCCAGGCGGATGCGGGGAGTCGAACCCCGTATGGCTGCTTATACACTTGCTCTGAATGTTGCATAGTGAAGGCAGCGGTGCACCGTGCACCACGGCCGCTTCCTACCTCCCTTAATCCCGTCAATACATCCTGGTGGTTGCCCTTGAGCAAACACAAAAAGGTTGGATGAAGTATGGGAGGCGGACACGGGGAGTCGAACCCCGTCAAACTGCATCCCGTCCTCCGCCTCGGATTGTACCTCGATCTGAAAGACGAGCGCGTCACGCGCGGGGTGGAACATGAACGGGCGCACCTCGCCCGGGATGCCGTACTTCACATTGACGAGCATCTCGATCTGCGTGAGGCTCCGTTTTCGGACTCGGAAGTTGAAATTTTCGAACCCTGCCAATGCAAAACATGCTGGTATGTGTCATGCAACCCCTTGGCAACTCCCATAGTTCGCCCTGTGTGAATGTATATTCCGGGAGTTGCCTGCGTCCGAGCGGGAGTGGCCCCGTAATCAACAGAATTTCGGGTGTTGCCAGTGCACAAATCCGCGGCGACGTCTGGCGAATGGGGGCCGACTGTGTGCTCGTAGGCGGCTGAGATTCTATAGATGGAGGGTACTTGTCGTCTACAGACTAAATCAATCCGCCGTCCTTCGATTTACAACTAGCTACAGACACTGTCGGGTACTCCGTGTTCTGCGAGCTTCCCGTTATAAATTAATGCCGCTATTCACGTCGCACTTCGATGTTGTGGGGTTCCGGTCTAATCAAACTACTCGGTGGGCAAGAAGAACCTGCTTACTTTCCAGGTGCTCCACGCCTTCTAAGTGATATAATTTTTTTCAAGTCAGATTAGATGACTATGGATGCGGCGTATCTTAACCCGAGGCCGCTGAACAACGATCATAGTTTACAGCTCTTTCCGAAAACCTTGACACTGCATCAAAATTTTTGGCGTTGCTCAACTTTTGATGCAAGGCTAAGCATTGCCGAATTGGGTTCGGATCAACTGGCATTTCGGGATGGGTCAGTGGCCGCAGGTCACCCTTCGTCCTTGAAAAGCTTTCACTGTGCAACCCACAGACAATTTACATTATGTGACCCCAAACCCCTTCGATTAATGCCAGCACAAATATCTGGACGAAGTTTCAGGTGGGAGGATCTCAGCTCGGCTAAGGGTCGGCTTTCATCGGCTCCGCTCGGCAACACCTACACCGGTAATCCTTAGCATTCCACAAAAGTTGACACCGGCGAAAAAAATCTTGCAGTGTCAAGGTTTTCGGAAAGAGCTGTAATGATCAGATTTGCTACCACCCATGACTGCATTGCGGAGCTGACCACTAATAACCCTCCCTTCCGCCGAAGGATCACTACCCAGGTATCCCAGCCCTCTGGTGCGCAGTTGTCGTCGCTACGTTACTGACAATTAGGTGTCATCGTGGAAAGTTCAAATTTATGAATTTATTTTAAACCACTCGTTGCCCGTATTTAAACCTCGAGCGTCGACATGTTAAACAGCAACTATGCAGCCCATTCTTTTCCTTTTCCTCTCCCTTTCCGTCCTCGCTGCGCGGGGGCTTCCCACACCCACGGGATTAGAGGTAGGCACCCCGCCCGAGCCTGTATGCAACGTTATAACTGACTCGGACCCTCCCTGTTGTTCAGGCCCGCAGCGTGGCCCTTGAACTTGTTAGAATTACCAGTCCCCCAGTTGCATTGTTGGTGCGTGGGTCTTATCGCTCATTCTATGCGCATTCATCGTGATGTTTTCGCCTTTCTTTCTGTTTTACCTCCAGTCCACATCGGCCATCGCCGGTTGTCCAAATTGCCCTTGTGATTACAGATATTCACCGATAGTGTGCAACTAGCATGCGCAATAATAACATAGGAGGGAGGGATGTATTATTAATCGGACACGGATTTGAATCTGTGTTCCGGCGTGGTCGGCTGGCCATAGTTCGAGCGGTGTCTTTGTCTTTTGTTCTTGATGCAAAAATCACATTTGTTTGAGTGAGAGTGTAGCGCTGATATAGTCACTGTACGGAAAGTAACAGAAGTTCCTTGGTTAATTAGATTTCGGACAGTGGCATCAATCTAACGTGTAAAGATCTCGGTTGGGTGGTTATATTACTCGCGTGGTCCACAAGCTGAACAACGAGTTTGCTACTGTACGTCTCAATGAGCGCGCGCACCGAGAGATCGTGCGCCCACTGGTCGTCTGCCGCCTTGTTTATATAGCAAGCCCGAAGCATTTCGGCGCACCCGGAATGAACACGTGCCGTATCGAAACTAACTTTGGGTGCCCTGAAATTCCTATAATCCCGGTGTAGGTCCCGCTGGTCCCACTGGATTCTACTGGATTCCGCTGGTCAACCTCTGGCCGGATTATCAGTGGTTCACGACGTTTTCCAAGGGATTCATTGGATATTGGCATCAACTTCAAGCGCAGTAAACCATCAAATTCTCCCGGACTCCATTGCATTTCATTGGTGTTCGCAAGCTAGTACCCACATAACCCACATAATTACCTATGGATGGTTACTTCTGTATGACTTGTAGTGTACTGTGCTGGGTTTCCGTCAATTATTGTGGCTCGCATTAGAATCCAGCAGAAGTACTGTGGATATTCTGTTTTCGTGCGGTAACAGCTCAGGATTTGCATCTGTTATTTCTAAGACGTGAAAATCTTAGCTGGAATGCAGGTGCCCTGCAACTTCCGCATCGCAGCCACGGCGCAGTGGATTGCGCCACACCACGCTTGAGCTAATGAGCGAAAACCAAAAACAGCATATCTTGGACAATTGGATGGATAGTTTGGATGCATGCGTTCTCAACAATAATGTTACCGGTTTTCTGTGTATAGTTATTTTGTTTTGAAATGTTTTCGGTACATACATATTACATTTTATTGTCAGCGGGAGCATCTGGAGACGAGTGCGAACATGGATGGTTATGAGCTCAAGACAGTGTTGCTGTTAACACATCCCTGTAAGCATCCCTGAACGTGTTGTGCAGCTGTCGCGCGGAGGCCGTGATGCCGTCAAATACACCGCGACTGCAAATATTATTCAAGCAGTTACTTGTGTCTTAAGTTACATGCCATTTGATGGTGTCACCGTGACCGTCCTTCCTCCGACTCTCTCGCCTTGCTCTCGCCCAGCTTCGCCTCCCAACTTCCTTCACACACTCAACACAAGAGAGGCTCTCGTTGCCCGCTAACTATACACTACACAACGGCTGACGTGGCAATCAATCAACTGATTGATTTCGGACGCAACATATTCCGAGTCCGATGCGGGCGGACGAACACGAAACGAATATGACACATCCAAAGGAACAGCAAGTAGCATTTTGGTAGCGGTAGTAGCTCATGATCCTGGCATTTGGCAAGAAAAAGGTGGTGGTATGGCATTGCATTTTTTTTTGTATCCAAAGTTCCACGTCGAACACCAGGAGTAATATCGTTTCGCGAGATGACCAAATTTGTATGACGAATTTGTTGTTTGTGCATGTTAGAAAAACGGATATTGATCGAAACCCAAGTTCCCCAGGTTAGCCAAACCTAAAGGTTCAGCAATAAGCATTGGGCGGCTCGCGAAGAGTCATTTCGTATCCTCTGAACCGGGTCTGGTAAAAATGACGCGGCAGCGGCGCGCACTGACGCGCACTGACGCGGTTGTGACGCGGCTGTGACGCGGTGTGGCTGTGTCGTTGACGCGCATCGGCGCGCCGCCTCTAGTTCATTACCTAGTGCTTATTCCAATCAGATTTACATCTGAGAAAGGTTTTCATGCACTAATACATCCCCTGGGCACCAAAAATCCAACCCGAAAATTTGGTCACTTGGACTAAACACCAATGGTTCTTGCATATATGAACACCTGGCGGGCTTCGGTCAATCCACAAATCACTACTTGAAGGTTCAATAGCGGCGGGTAATGCCCCCCAACTCACTGCAATACGTTCCCGTCGTTCCCCACCATATCAAGCCAGTGTAGGGTAAGTGTATCCCAAGCATCCTATATCCCATGTGGGAAAAGTTCAGAATGAATACATCCACCTTACCCTCTGTCCGAACCAGCGACAAGACGTGGCATCGCTTCGCTCCGGCAACTGGGAACTCTCCTCAATCTGATGAGGTACGAGAACATTAACGGATAGGATTTCCTCTGTCATTAAAAACAATGGAAAATACACACCACGCGGGAAGGAGAACGGAAACTGTGTTGAAACATAGACTTGAATTGGGCGGAATTATGGGATGGAGAATTTTGCGCCGGGTGAAGATCGAATCCTTCCGGCGTGCACCATTTGATGAAACAATTGTAGCCAGTGCCATTCGGACATGACTTCCAGGCTTCATTATAAATGTATGCCGAGCCATGCAGCAGAGTGAGTGGGCCAGGCAGACACAGGCAATGAGTTGATTTCACAGGACGACTGCAGCTTGGAGCGAAACGGCAGCCCCCAGAATGGGCCGAGAGGAACAGGCACGGCAGTTCACCAGCCCGGGGGGCGCCATTTATACCTGGAAAATCCTCGGGAGCAAAGCCGCAGCCGCAGGTTGAATGACGCTGCGGCGTTGGCAGCAGTCGCTGCACGGAGCTGCGCTTTCCGGAGAGAGATTGCGCATATCTCAGCTGTCTGTGCAGGAATCAATGTTAAACCACAAGAGCCTGCGTTGATGGATTGAGCATGTTCCGGCCGTTCGACACGGGTTGAGCGGAAGATTGTACTATCTCTGGGTGACCTCCTGACC